ATATATATATATATATATATATATATATATATATAAAGCTGGACATATTTGAAAGCAACACATTTCTGTTTTGTGTTTAAATAACAATGACATTAACAGCATTTGTAGAGGGGAATATTACTAAGCATGTTTAAGCCACTAGGGAGCACTGTGCACCAAGTGGCAGCATGCATCCTATATAGACAAAAGAAGCCAAAGTGCTGACGAAGCCTGTATTTATTTGTTTTTAATCTATCTTTTTGGAATTTCTGATCAAAAAACACATGTTGGAATAAAAAAAAAAAGAAGTGATGCCAACTTCCTATTAGAGCTTTTGTTTCAGGTATTGTCAGAAATTAATGTGTGATATAGGATTAAGTTGAGGTCAGTCTAGAAACTTGGCATACACTACACAGAGTCTGCCTTACCTATCAAATATAATCACTGAATGTCTTTGCAAAACTCACAATATAAACGTGATCCCTGCGAGACTGTTTTAGTCTAACCTTTTATCCATGGAACTGGAGGCCTGGTTCATCTCACTGTTGGAAATGAAGTTCCGAATTTCTGAGAAGTAAGAGTCCTCCTTCTCATCTAAAAGTGCATGATTGTCTGGCTCGGAGTTTGGAGAGGAGATGGTGGTTCCTAGGTTGGAAAGCATCCCAGACTGCTGACTCACTGTTAGGAAAAACATACAGACGTTTGCATGCACACACAAAATGAGTTTAGGGTTAAAATTTGATGACTTGGAGAAATTTGGCAAAGGCATTTAATAGTAAAAGAGGACATGAGTAAGACCTTGGTATAATTTCAATGTATAGCTTTCAATTTTATTAGCTGCCTCACTTTTTTTGCATCTTTTTAAACATAGAAATATCTACATGCTGATGAAGAATGACTAAGAGGAATTTCTAATCTAAAATGCCTCGTGTTTAAAAAAAAAAGAAAAAGAATACTGGAATTTATATCCAGTCCAGAGGACCTGACTTAACTTCGTTGAACTGGAATTTCTAGTTAAAAATTATTTGATGTTCATTTATATTTGATTTATTTATTTATTTTCTAATTTACTATCTTATCAGAAGTTTAAAGTTGAAAGAAAAACAAAACTTAAATTTCAGGCCAGGTTTTATTTGGAGACGTCGGGTAATAAATGCCATTAAGCAAAAAATGCCAGCATGTTCATGCTCTTGAGCTAATTTAAAACTATGATTAAGCATCAAATGTAGGTTTAGAAACAAGAATCCACCTAAATGAAAGAAATATTCACACTGAACTGTGAATATACACTAAATAGACATTTTATCAGTAGATGAACTGGCACCTCTGCATTTCGTTTGATTGGTCAGGAACCTCTCAGCAGAGGTATGTTTAAATCTAATTTGAACTAAGAATTAGTATTTTGCATTTCAGCATCAAAACATTACATCACTCGGTCAGAAGAAAGTTACGTATAAAGTGCCAATCAAGAAGACTTTTCTTAACCTCATTGCTGAAAACGAGCAGCACTGCCTTTTTAACAGGTTGTCATTTATACTACAGTAATGTAGCATGGATCACTTGAACGTTAACACTCAAATAAGCAATAATTTCTATCAAAACATTTGCATTTCATCCATAATTGGTGCCATACATCCATGTCTGGCACAACAAGGCTGTCTTGTGCAGTAGCAAATGGAAAAATAAAGATTCCTTTTTAAGTGGTTTTCCCACTTTTGGTCTTTCCAACATTTAAACATTCAACTGGGCGATGAGTTAAATTTTCTACATTTGTTACATGAGCCATTGATCATTCCAAGCATGAGATAAATAGCCCGTTTACTAACAACTTTCAGTTTGCTTCGCCTCAGTTTCGTCAGAGAAGACAGATGTTGCAGACTGACCAGGAATGTTCTCGTGCTCATGCTTTTTGAGATGGCGGTCGAGGTTGGTTTGCTGACCGAAGCAGCGGTTGCAGAGGTGACACTTGAAGGGCTTCTCCTTGTTATGGATGTTGCGGACATGACGTTGAAGATTGGATGAAATGCTGAATGATCGGTCACAGTATTTACACCTGCCAAAGCAAAACAGAACAGTGTCTAATAGAGCTTTATTGTAAGTAGTGCCATCATTTAATGAGAGTTTGGGGAATAAGAAAAGGTGTACATGCTTTTGATATGCAAAATAAAAGGTAATTTTGTGATTGTTTACAATACAAAAATAGAAGGAGAGTCACAAATTTGTAAGAAAAATAAAAGCATAAAAATAAGTTAACGAATACCTGTAGGGTTGTTCCCCTGTGTGTGTTCGCAAATGTCTGGTGAGGTTTGCTGAACGGGGGAATATCTTCCCACAGTACCTGAAGGAGGAAGTGGACATTAAATATGTTTAAGAATAAAAAATGAAGAAAAAAAAAACTTTGTACAACTGTGAAGGTGTACAAAAGCAACTGCAACTGTGGGGCACAAACCTGCACGCGTAACGTTCCTTGCCTTTTCGAAGGATTGCGTCTGAGAGGGAAGGAGGTGGTGAGCGGAAGTTGAACAGTGGATGGGTCGAATGTTGCAGCGAATTGGGCGGTCCGTCCAGTTTGAGAGCGCCAAAGCTCTCCAGCTTTTCTGTCATGTTTTCCATGGCTGACATCTAAGAAAAACAGTCAGTATAAAACATTCAATTTTAAAAGTATTTTAGTTTTGTGATATTTTGTGTAGGGGCAGCACGGTGGCGCAACTGGTAGAGCTGCTGCCTCTCAGTGAGCAGGTCCCCGGTTCAAATCCCAGTCCAGAGACCTTTCTGGGTGGAGATTGCATGTTCTCTCCGTGCATGCGTGGGTTTTCTCCGGGTACTCCGGTTTCCTCCCACAGACCAAAAACATGCATGTTAGACTGATTGGTAACTCTAAATTGTCCCTAGGTGTGAGTGAGAGAGTGAATGGTTGTTTGTCTCGTTTGTCTCTATGTGGCCCTGTGATGGACTTGAGACCTGTCCAGAGTGTACCTCGCCCCTCGCACAGTGATTGCTGGACATGGGCACCGGTGACTCCCAGGACCCAAAAAATGGAAGAAGCGGGTTAAAGATAATGCATGGATGGATGGATGGATGGATGGATGGATGGATGGATGGATGGATGGATTATTTTGTGTATACAGTAGTCCCTCACTACTTCGTGGTTTGACTTCTGAGGACTCGCTCAATCACAGTTTGTGGACCTACAGTCCATAATATTGTACAAACAAAAAAAATGTACAGGAAACATGATTGTCAACTTTAACATTACTCACGTGATTGGGACAGTACTGGATACAGCATTGTACAGTAAAAAGTTAATGGAAAAATAAAATACTTTGGACAGGTGCTGCTGTTTTGTACGTTTCTCCCAGTTAGCCTCCAGTGTATTCCCACTCATAATGACCACATTTTCCAGAAGGCAACAGGGCCTTGCCCAGAAGCCCCATTTCCTTCTGATGAAAAAAACCAGAGGTAAAGTTTTGATCTGATCAGCACCCCCAGAGCAGAACCAGACTTCCAGACCCATCGGTGATTCTAGAGAGCTGGTAGCCCGCCCACGTGGACCTCCAAGCGAACGCACGTGGCCGAAAGTCCGGTGCTCCATCTGAAGCTCAACTGCATTTTTTCATCTCTTTCAACCGGCCAATGACAAGCCGTCACGGGACGCGTGACCGATGCTCCATAAGTCCATCTAAAGATCAACAGGACTTTTTCCTGTTTTTCAACCAGCCAACGACAAAGACCTCCAAGTGGGGACACACTGATAACTAAAATTTAGTAGCTACATACAAGTATGTTGTTAAAATTAGTAGATTAAAGAATTTAGAACATTGCAAGAGTGAAGTGTTTCTAAAGCCTTTATATATATATGTATATATATATATATATATATATATATATATATATATATATATATATGAATACTAAAATAAATATAACGTTGCTACTTCACGGAATTTCACTTACTGCGAGCGGAACCAAACCCCCGCAATAAATTAGGGACTACTGTAACTACATTTAGTTAAAGCCCAATATAACTCATGCCGTATTATATGTATAGGTATGTGTCTGCATAAATAAAAATAAAAATGAACTAAAAGCTAAAAACAAAGATCAAAAATAAAAAAAAGAATGAGGAGAAGCATCTAAAATCAAAAGCTTTAAGGAAGCACTATATCAGAGGTTAGGTTTGTAGTTTCTACTAAACACCTTCACAAATGTTCAAGTTCCATCCATCCTGCAACCCCTTACCCTTCTGTGCTACCTGAACTTAAACAAGTGTTTTGTTTTCTAACTTTTACCTCCATCTCCTTCCAAAACTACTGCATTAGGACAGCAAACTGGCTCACTGAGTCACTCAATAGCCACAATTGGAGAAGTACAATATAGTTTGTGATACCCCATAGCCACTTCCGTTCCCCTAGAAGCATGTGAACAAAGGCCACCAGCTATGTAGGAGTTTATTTGCCAAAAACAGCTTACATCCTTCCTTTTTTAGTGAATATGGGATGGGAGAGACACAGGGACAGACACTCCGTCTCAATGTGTTTATTCGCAGTCTGAGAACGGGTGCAGAGGGAGCGGGGCTATTCCGTCATGAGACTGAATTAGAGGTGGCATTGTATTTGGATCGCTGGGAGGATCACAGTGGAGACACTCTCATACGAGAAGTTTTTAGATGGAAGCCTGTGAAAACATTTGATCCAGGCTATGGTAATAAATCACAAGCTGATGCCTTTAAATGGGACTTGAGGAAATGCACGTTTTAGACCAAAATCGTTACCATGCAATGATAAATATTGCAATGTATTTTTGCATAATCATGAGCAACAAATGAACGCAGAAAGAAAGTATACACTACATTACCTGTAATTTAAAAAAAGAACAACCCATATGCATAATATACAGTATAACTAAATGCATGCTCTGGTGTAAATGTATCTGTCTGCAGATGTATGAGACAAGTGCATTGCAAAGTCATGGTTGATAGAGGAGACAGATTTCCAGGTCAGATTAAACTGTTTCCCCAATAAGAGCCCCCTATTCTCCTGGATACAAACACAGGATGTCCTTGATGAACATGGTGCTATTATCTAGCCAGCCAGCCAACAACACAGAAAAAAAGAAGGGGGTTGGCTTATTGGCTTGTCTGTGGACTCTCAGTACTTAAAACAATGCCACAACTAACAGTAGTGTAGCCAAAAGAGGCAATGTCTTACAATTCAAACGGTTATTACGCTCTCCGTTGCTAATTCTATCATTCCTTATAATCAAAATTTGCAGAGGTGGGAAAGGTCTGGGGACAGTCAAACAATGCTACTGATTATCAAAGGTCGGCGATAACAAACTGTCTTCTGAAAAAAAAAAAAAGGTAGAACTGACGAGGTACACAGGCGCCATTTAGTAAACAAAGGAAGAAATCATACAAAACCCTTGAGAAAAAAACAGTAGAGCAATAGTATGATGGAGCAGAGGGCCCTACCAAATCAGGTTGTGGTAGCGTGGGAGGCAGGAGTTTGGTATTTTCACATAATACATAAATTGAAGATAATAGTCAGTACCATCTAGGAATATTAGCCTAATTTTAATATCCAAGGGAACCCCCCCCAACACACACACTTTTTTATGTAAACTTGTTGCAGTTATTAATGCACTATTTTTTATCGTTTAAGTTTACCTGTGGATGGAAGAGTGATATTGAGGGCCTAGGGAATTTCTCCTTCAGAGCTCCAACTGGGTCAAGTAGCTTCCTCTTCTCCACCCTGCTGGACCAACAAGGCAGAGGGTTACGTACCAAGGTCAGAGTTTGTTTAAAATGTCCAGGTCTGTATTGACGTAATCTGTAATTTTAAAGTTTGGATGAAGGTTATATGAAAAGAAAATGTTCCTGGTCTAATTGGGACTGAAATACCTGTAGATGGGATCCATGAAGAATGCTGAGGGCTTGGCGTAGTGCAGGAGTGGTGGCTGGTGTGGCTGTGATTGTGGCTGCTGGTGTTGGGGTATAGAGGATTGGTGCAACAACTGTGAATGGGGGTGTGGAAAACCACCTGAGCTTTCTTCCTTATGGGTGACTCCCTTTCCTGCTCCATACAAGTGATTCTTTCGATTTTGCAGCTCAGCTGGCAGACCATTTTGACCCCCACGACTCCTGCTGCCAATGCTGAGGTCAAGTGGCTGTTCTTCACTGCTGGATATTGCTACAGGTCCAATATTGTTCCCAGTGCTGCTGGAAACTGAGGGGTTTGTTGGGGTTGGGGGAGTTAACTTGGCCTCTTTGGGTTTTGTGGTGAGATCAAATGGAGACTCTGCTGTAGGAGCAGGAGCTGTAGGGGAACTTGAAACCAGCTTCTGGAGCTGCTCACGGGGAGACTTGGGTTCAGCCTTCAGGAATACACTGGGATTGAGGGTGCCTCGATCAGTGCTAAAGGGATACAGGGAGTTGTGGAAGTTGGGCAAAAACTGAAAGGGAAACATAGAATGGTAGGGCAGTGGACCCATCTTTTTCTCCTGATGAAGTCCAATCAAACCTGGACCAAAATATTTCTCAGCAATAGAAGCAATGGCTTTGATAGAATCAGTTGTGGCTGCATTGGCATTTGTCGTGGTGGGTGGAAGGGCTTGCTCATCAGGCGGAGGGAAGAAGGAGTGCTGAGATGGTGCAGAAGCAAGAAATGGGCGATCTACAGAAAGGGTTCCTGAACTAGTCACAGCTGATAATAATGCACTGTTCGTTTCTTCTAGCCGATTTGCTTCTTGACTCGACACCGTGCCAGATGGCTTCCTTCTTTTACCATGTTCGCTCTCTCCTTCACTCTCCAGGTCAGAACCATCACCTGAAGCAGTACCTGTGGTCGTGTCCAAATCTGTCCCACTTGTCGTATTAACATCTTCAAGATCACTACCGTCTGACATGTCTGTCATTTTAGACTTAGGCTTTGCTTCTCTGCTAGAAGACAAATCAAGTTTGATTTCCTTTTCCTTGTCTTCCTGTGGACTCAAACAACTGACTCCATTGCTGTTTGTAGAGCTAACAAGGGACAGTGGAGGGGCATCTAAATGACTTCGAAGAAGCTTCACCTCCTGACCACTGCCACCCAGTGGGTTCTTTAATGATGGACTAGCAGGTAATAAAGGTGGTCGTGGATAAAGTGATGGGGGAAAGATACCTGGGAACCCATGTGGGAGAGATGGGAAACCATGAGGTCCTGTGGAGAAGGGCAAGCCAGCATGAGGATGAGGTCTTGAAGGAAAGTAGTCAGTGAAGCCTAAACCTGACTGGTTCAGACCTGGAAGGTGGGGATGGTGGGACTTGGCTTTAGCCATAATTGGACTAGAGCTCATGGCAATTCCAGGGTTAAACATCCCTGCTGGAGAGCCATAATGGTTTTTGCCCTCACAAAAGCGCCGATGCTTGTTGAGGGAAGAGGTGGTGCTGAACAACTGTCCACAGTCTTTACATTTGATCTGAGTACGGCAGTCGGCATGCATACGTTTGTGACGACAGAGGTTGGAGAACTGAGTGTAGGACTTGTGGCACACCTCACCTGGGGGAGCAAAAAGACACAGCCCATCAGGGCCTGGTTAAACCCATTTTAACACTGTCTCTAACACTGCAAACCAAATCAAAAAGAACAAAACACAGGGCATTGCTGCATCTCTTGGAAAAGGAAGAAACAAATGTATTTGACAACATAGTGGATGTTTTTGTACAACTTATTTTTATTTAGACTGTCCCCTAAATGAAACAAGCTCAGTTATAACTATTGTATGACCAGTTTATGATAGACTAACTGCAGCAAACTCAGTTAAAGCATATCATTATAAAAAAAACATGTATACAAATAAGTTTCTTGTGTCTGCTTGCTTAGTTTTAAGATGTGAACAAGTGGGACAACAGAAAACCAGAGACTTTAGTGTCATGGTAAATAAAATGAGACAAATTAAAAATGTTATACAATTCTTTGGCAGTTAGACTTCTATAAATAATAAACTGGCCTTTACTTACAGATAAAGGGTTTTACACTGCTGTGGATGTGCTTATGCTGCTTGAGGCCTGATGAGGTGGCAAAGGTCTTGCCACATTCAGGACACGTGTGAGCGCGTGCTCCCACATGCTGGGAGCGGATGTGACGTTGAAGGTTGCTGGGATCTGTGAACACCTAAAATGCAAGATAAGAGTATGATAATACATTGTATGACATCATCAACAATGTAAATATATATTTATTAAAGCAGTGTTCTTTTAGAATGACCAAATCTATGCACAGTACCATAACAAATTAAACCTAAAACCAAAGCAGATAAAGCTTGTGTGTCCTGTGCACAACTTACGTGCCGGGTTTGCTGTACCTTATCACAGTTTTCACACTCAAAGCGTTTGCCACTGTCATGTGACATCTGGTGGCGGATGAGGTTGGACTTCCAGTTGAAGGCTTTAGGACATTGGTCACACTTGTACTCTCTCTCCTCTGTATGAACTATCATGTGTTGCCCCAAACTTAATCAAAAAAGAAGATAACAATGTTCAATACTGGATATCGAAACATCATCAAAATGTACCTATATTGTCTGAATGCTATAGTTGGCTTGTGTACCTGTACTCATTTGGAAAGATCTTCTCACAGTCTTTGCACTCGTGGACAGGCTCGTCACTGTCCTCACGTTCCTGTTTAAAGTCGTCTCTCAGTGCATCAAAGATGGAACCGGAACTGGAGCACGAATACTTCTGATGTCGCCGAAGCTCCAGGGTTGAGGAGAACAGCTCATCGCAGTCTTCACAGCGGTACATTTGCTCGTCTGTATGCACACAGACACAAACCCACGTGTTTTTATTATTTTTTTTGTAATTAGCACATAGATTTGCATGCTATGGTGCATAGTACAATAAAAAAACAACAGTGTAATACATTCTTCTATATTCATTTTATTTTTTAAGTTACTCATTCAATATTTTATAAATAAACTAGGCACATATTTTAGAAACGAAAGACAGACGAGCAAATGTGTAAAATATTTGGTCTTTTTTTTTATATAGTATATAACCCTTCAATTATTTGACAACAATTTTTATTTTTTATTTTGTATAGTTAGATATTTGTGTGCTCCTAAAAGATTGTCTTTTGTTAAAGTCAGGACAAAAACATTATAATTGTGCAAAACAAAGCAGAGCTAGTTTGCATCATATTGTACGAGTTTAACTTTATTGAACATAGTATAATAAAAGAATAAACAAAGTTATATAAAAAAAGAAAATTAATTTTAAAACAAAAGCAAGCAGAAAAAAAACTGTAGTAAAGTATATTTGCACATTCAAAGGAGTGGGTAGAAGTATCAATTTATAACTTATTGTTAACAATGATCATGTGAATGTTCACAAAGACGTAGAGAAAAGCGCTTCCATAAATCTTAACAAAATGTAATTACTCAACAAGAAATCTATTCTGTTTTGGTGTTTAGTTACAGCTAAACAGGTTTGTTTTACTAATGGTAAAAGTCGCAGTCCTGCAATTGACAACCCCATAAAATGGAAATCAATTAGCAGTGAAATGTGGGCTTCATTAACACAGTTAATTACGTGTTAATGCAAGTGTTTGCTTGGGACTGGAAGGGTAATAGCACGCAGGGGAAACAATAGGGGCTGGTCTTCCCCTTCCATGCTGATAACCTTTACAATACTTCTCACAAGCAAGGTCAAACACATAAAAGTTGGAGCAGCTTTTTCAATAGCGAATTCCTGAGTCAGACGCCAAGTTCAACAGATCAGGAAAAGCCCAGCGGAGTGTTTTTGTGCACATGTAAGGATGTGTGTGTGTGTGTGTGTGTGTGGCTTATGCTTCTGTGAACATTTTCCAAAATGAGCCACGAGGAACAGAGAGGTAAGCAGGGCTGTGGCAACACCAACCCCATGGTGGTTTCAGTGCCAACCTGCGTTACCATTTATGCCACAACCCAAGCAGTCACCTCCTGAGTTGCCTCCCCCGCAGGCCTCCCCAACATGCCACACACACCCATCCATCAATTCAAGCTGCAGTAAATTAGTTTATCCAAAATGAAAATGGCTTGCAGTGCGTGGCTCACCTGTTTTCTACGGCATGTGACCGTTTATCCAGCTGGAACTTCTTGGAAACGTTAAAAGGACATTAGAGCGGCACCGTCAGTGTGTCTAACCTTCAGGAGAGGATAAATAACCCCCTGGTCAATAGACCATTACACTAAGCTTAAATACTAGATTAACTAGCTTGCTTTGACACTGACGTGTATATTTCTTAGAGAATAGATAGCTTGCTATCAGGAGGTTGTTCATAAAACTTAAATGTCATAATATTTAGATACATTTCAAATAATATATATTAAAAAAATGTGTACATCAGCATTAGACTTATGCAGAAATATTGGAGTGGGGAAAAAACTTTTTATGGTAAATACTGTATACATGAAGACATCTCTTCTTGTTAGGGTTAAGGTTCTTATGAAGAAGCAGAAAGAAAGCCCTGAGAGCGTTAATGTATGTGAGGATGCGCGTACACAAACGGGTCTTGCTTGTGCCCATCAGCGTACATGTGTTTTCTCAGTTAGTCTGGCCTGTGCAAGTCGGGTGGGGTGGGAGGAGGTTATAAAGTGGAGACTAATAGCTCTCCGGGAGACGAAGGGAGGCACAATTATGTGCAGTTTAGCAGCTAATCTGGGAGCATGGGTGAGGTCTCGGGGGACTCCTCAAGTCCTCTACTTCAAATTCCTTCTTCGATAAGCCAGACGCAGAGAGCAGGGCTGAACTGCCAAGCTCTGTCTCAGTCACACGAATGAATGGAGACAAGAACACAAAACATCCTGGTTGGTGGACTTTGCGCCCTCTCTCCTGTTCACAGCGAAATATCCTCAAACAATAAAGCACCTGTGATGAATTTCTCCTGTCTGCCCTAATCCTTCTCTCATTCGAAGACACAATAGTTTGGTCTCCACACATTTTGGCAGGTGGAGTTTTCCTCTCTCCTTTCATACAACCGCACACGCACTCAGGTCAGGTTTATGCACGCTTCTTTTTTCAAAAACATAAAAAATGTCGGTCTGCTTCTGAAAAATAACGGCTTGATTGGAGCTTCTTTGCACATGATCTGTGTGTAATCTGATCGTGGTGCAGACCAGATTTTATGAACATCATGTTCCTCTGTATGATCAATGTCTAGTAACGGTAGTCTGATTTCATTTATTTTTTATAATTCTTGGTTTTAGAAACACAACAAAACAATGTTATTGACAACAGCACTGCCCCACAATGAGTGCAAGATGTTTAAAGAACTGGCTGCTTGTCTGCTCAAGTGAAGTTTGAAATAAAGAACTACAGTCAGCCATAGTTTAATATAGATTATGAGATCAAATATTGGACATATTTAGTTTGACACATAGTGAAGTGGGTACAGTTCAAATAAATGAGCTGAGTGAGTCAAACAGGAGTTACGTAGAAAATAAAATCTGGACTAAATTCTCTAAGCGTGTCAGTTTGGAGAAAACTGTGCAGGTACAGAAAATCTAAAAACAAATATGTTAGAGTAAATAAACACAGGCAAATGAATGGAAATGTTGATTTCCACAGGATTTAATAAAGTCTAAAGAAAAAAATGTAGCTTAAAGTTAAAAAGTAAAATTCATTTTAAATTCTGGAAAAACAAATTCAACTCATAAAAATGATTAAACATTAAGTTGTTTTTGTTTAATAAGCTTTAAAAGCAATAAAAAAAGAGAGAAATATTGATTTTATTGAGTTTTTATTATTATTTTTTGTCAG